CCCCCCCCCCCGATTCATCCCTTATTGGCATTTCGCGTCGTTCGAAAGCGCGGTGATTTTAATTTACGACTATAAGTCGCGAATGCGAGAAGGGAGGACACGCATTCTCGGGCGAGTGTAATAATAAATTGTAATATCAAGAAACTTCCCTCTGCCTTCCTCTTCCCCCCCGGCCCTTGTCACATTTAACCGTTCCTTTTCCACCGCGCCATTCCTCCTCGTTCGCACCTCTCGCGCGCGCCAGAAGAGCCCGCGTTATCTCAGTCGTGAAACAAGAGAGATCGTTCATTTACTTCGATTTAACTTTTCCTTTCTCGCGCCTTTCTCCCATAACGCCGCGCGCAATTCTTCCGACCATTCTTCCTTTCGCTCCCTCGCCCGCGCATTACTCTCTTTCGAAAAACACGGAGGCGGGGTACGTAAAGGTCTCTCTCTCTCTCTCTCTATCTATCTATCTATCTCTCTATCCCTCTTTCTCTCATCAGGTGGAATTATATCGATGTGCCGGCTCGCTCGTTGCGGCGCGGCGTTTTACGACCGATCGATCGCGAAATGCTTGAACGATTCGACGGTAAACACCGTTGGATTAATGTCCGCCGCTCGCGCGTTCGCCCCGGAGTTTCGTTCGATCGGCGAACACCGATCAGGGGCTATTGAAACCGGTATAATTTCGGCGAGTCCCCGAGCACTCCAATGCTGCAAGCGCGCGGAAACGACCCCACCGCGTTCGTTCGTTTGTTCGTCAGTCAGCGAAAATCGAACGAACGACGATGTGATATATATATATATCTCTCTCTCTCTCTCTCTTTCATCGGCAGCCTCTCGCTCCGAATTTGTCGTCGAGACAAAACGGTGTGACAGTAGCGGCGTGATCGCGCGCGCGTGCGGCAGAACGTCACGGCTTGATGATTATTCGATTAGTGTGAAGTCAAGCGCGCGAGAAATCTCATTAACCGCCCCGTCGTCGGAGCACACGCATAATTAGATGCACTTCGTACCTCGTCACCGTTTTACGTAACGGGGCTATGGTCGTGGTCGCGCGCGACACTTTCCCGGCCTTCCGCGACGCGGATGAGCCGACGGCGGTCGAAGGGCGCGCTAACCGGATTGGCCGAGGTCCGAGCGTCCCTCCGTGTCCATTCACACTGAAAAATGAGCTTGAATGGATCTACCTGACATGGTATGACCGGAATGGACGGCCGAAAGCGTTGCGGTTGGGGGAAAGAAAATTTCAACTTGAAAATGTCAAAAATCTACTTTGGTGCCTCAGGTTCACGGGTCGATAACAAACGATTCGATGCCGACGGTTGATTTTTCGGACAACTCCGTTTGATAAGTATCTAGATTTTTTATTGATGCAAAGGAGAGTCGTCGCTACAGATCGGCGACAGATTCGCGTGACATTTTGTGAATCTAATATCGTGTCGGTGTGTGGCCGATATTTACGCGAAAAAAAGAAATTAGTCTTAAACGAATGATGGTAGATATTTTCATATATATTTTCACATATAAGCCAAAACATTATAACACATTATAAAAAAATATTCTCCGTGTGATATATAAAAAGATATTATACAGGTGCCGACCGATTATTAGCGATCTGATCGTAGTCAGTATTATATTCAAATCGAAGCGTTATGTCCATGTGTCAACTTGATGTAAATATGATATAAATCATATAACGACTAGATCGACTAGATAACATTTACATAAGATCTTCTAGATATCGTGACGAAGTCCAAACGAATATCGAATTGAACGTCGATTTTCACATTGATTTCGACTTAACTTCGTTCTCGACCGGATTTCGCGCCCGACATGTGAATCCCGGTCTTCGGAAATTCCGTTTCTCTCGACCAAAAGGACCCAAGTTTGTCACACTGAGAAAAGAGACTTAAACATTGATTAATGTAAAATATAAAGTTTATTTCACGGAAATAAACGTTCGCTTGAATACGGCGAAGTAAAATTGTATTCTTATCAAATAAACCAACGTCGGCGAATCGAATGATCAGTAAGGAAATCCAGGTATATTTCACAAAAAAATATATATCCCGCCGTCGAATTTGTCCCACGACCGGTGAGTACGGAGGGAAATGCCACGGGGAACATTTACCTCGCGAAATTCCAATTTCCTTCTCTCAGCGCGCGGTAAGGATCCGAGCGAGCTGACTTTTCATCGCGTCGTTTGTCGAACGGCAAACGTCGGCTCCGTTGACAACGCCGGCGTAAACGTCCGAACGGCGGAGTTAATTATTTAGCGGGACAATTTGCATGCGGCACGCGGCTTTCGCCTCGGCCTCGCTTTAATCCAATCCCCGGCGTTAACGAGCCGTGGCAGGCTCGGATTTTTCGCATCGGCGAGCGCATTCCCGTCCCCTCGAAGGCGGGGATCGTCATCCCGATCGCGGATCCGCGGAATATAATGCGTGTACGCGTCCGCGGTATTGCGGCAATGACGGCTATACTTAGAGCGCTAGACGAATCTCGCTCGAGGGCCGTCGCGAAAGGAGGTCGCGAGGAACAGCTGATGCGCCGCGCGCGATTCGGTGTGGACGGCGCCTTTACCTCTTGCCGGTACGCGCGCTCTTCCTCCTTGTTTGTCGCGCGCGCTTACACTTCCGTCCACGTTCCTTTCCATGCGAAAACAATCGACTTAACGAATCGCCTCGTAATTTATTCGCGGCGTCTAATACCTGAATTAAGAGGTAACGAGTCATCGACGCGCGTCCTTCCGTCTCTCGCGCGAAACGCCCCGCGAATGATTAATTCAGCCATTGTTGCAGGACTAATTCTCCCCTTCCCGTCCCGTGTGTGTTTGCGCGCGGTCGAACAATAAATATTCGCGCATAGAGGCTTACCCTTTCCGCCCGTAAACCGTGAAAAATGTCAACCGCTCGGCCGATCGTTTAATCGTTAATCGATGAGAAATCCGTGACCTTTTGGGCAAATATAAGGCTTACGGCAGCGGGTAATAATCCCTCGCACAGATTCCTCGAGATTAGCACGCCCGGTATCGGACGATTAATCGGTGTTTTCGCACCGGCGTGTCTGTTCCGCGGATTAAACCTCGAGCGAGCGAGCGTGCGCGCGCAACTCCGCGAAACCGAAAAACAAATATCACTCGGCGCGAAATAATTTATCGAGTGCGTAACTCGCCGAGGCGGGTCTTTCACGCGAGTGCGTTATTCCCCGGAAGATGCGCCGCCGCTGATCTCACGGTGCGTACACGGAGAAAAAAGAGGATTTAACACGTGTTTGTTTGACGCTTGAGTTTGTTTCGTGTAAACAACGTAATTTAATATCAAATGTCACTCTGGATGAGACTTTGGATGGGTTGTCGTTTCAATGGGGTGTACGGTAAAAAAGGTTCGGCGCGAATAACGGCCCACTGAAACGTTTGCGTTATTTTAACGTTCGAGGTGAGTGAAATGTTGAAAATTAGTATGTTGAAAATGTATGTT